GTTGACTGAGTGGATGATGGAACCATTAATTCATTTAATTTGGGGACAAATTTTATATATATATATATATTTTTTTTTTAAATTTTGGGGGGAGGAGGTAAATACGTTTACTTATTTATTTTTTGAGGAGGTACTAGGGACTGAACCCAGGACCTTGTGTATGCTTAGCATACGCTCTACCACTTGAGCTATACCCTCCCACTGCCCTGGGGCCAATTATATATTGAATATCTGCTAGATGCAAGATATTGTGTTAGGAGCTGAGATACAGAGAAGAGGAGGACACAAGACCTTGCTGAGAAGGAGCTGAGAATTTAGTGAGGAGGTTGGTTGGTGAGGAGGTTGGTTGGACGGTAAGTGCAGAGGGCTTTGGGGACACACGGGAGCACCCCTCCCAGTCTTAGGAAGTGAGGGGTTGGGACTGCTCTGCTGATAAGGGAGACAGTGCATGTATGAGAGAGAAGATCACAGGATCTACTTTGGAATGTGTTGAGCTGAACCTTATCTTCAGTCCAGCTCCTCTGTGATCTGACCCTCCCTCTGTTGTTTTTAGTTTTGTGACAGTTAAAAGTCCAGACAACTTGCTCAGTCATCTGACACATTCCTTTCTTGCATCATGTTTTCCTTTTGGCCTCTGTTAAAATGGTCAGCATCAGTGGGTACATGGCTGAAAGATGCTGGCGTGACCCCCATCGTCCACGCCTTCCCCAGCTCCCTTCCCACCAGCTCTTCATCTTAGGTGTTGCAATGTTTGTAAAATGAATCTGGGGTGGTTGTTCTAGTTTACTCATTGCTGTTGTGAAAAATCTGGTTTCTTTCAGGTATTATTATTATTGAATGGTGGATTGTTTTGGGGGAAGTTCTCGGTGCTGTTTAATCACTCTACCTCCTTCCTGACAGCACGCCCACATTCTTTTTCAAACACAGGCAAGGTTTTGCTTCATTTATTCAGCAAGTAATTTGGGGCACTTACTACGTTCCAGGAACTGTTCAAGGTTCCTGGGATGCACTGGTGAGTAAAGGGCTCCTACTTTCACGCGGTCTGACTTCCCTGCAGCCTAAATAATTTAGCTCTTGTTGACTTCTCTGTTGCTCTCGGGGCATGTGCACGGATGGATGGCCGCCTCCCAGCCAGGAGAATCTCCCCTCCAGCCCTCTCCCAAGTGGGCCTGTGTGCACCGTCACCTGGGACTCTCCGTTCTCCTCCTGTGGGTTGTCCACAGCGTGGCAGCTCCTCCCGCCGGCAGTTGGAGCGCCACCGTCCCCAAAAGAACCTTAAGCGCTTTCTCTAAGTTTTAAATATCGTGGTTACTGCCTCTTCTCTGACCATAACTTCATTTTAAATCCCACAGAAGACAGCTCCTCCACATGCTCTGAAAACAGTTTATGCTTTCTTTTGAGACGATAAGTTGACTGTATCTTAAAGTCTGTCATAAGGACTTCTGTCATAACGTCTTTATAATCTTTAATTCTTCAACTACAACTACGAGTCTTTTCAGGGGGAAAGTCTCCAGAGAGTTCAAAGAGTGCCTGGAACCCAAGCTTGAGCTGGTTCACCCACCGATGTGAGTTTGGTGAGTTTGTGAGCGGGATACTCAAGCCAACGTCCCTGGTTCTTACCAGATCTCAGGGCATAAAAGATAAGCCGGGATCATCAAGATAAACCTGCAGGGATCATTCGCACTGAGGGAGTTCCCCATTCAGAGAGCACGGGCTCAGGGATCTCCTGGAGTCGTGGCTGCTCTGTGGTGTCTAGGAAGCTCTGATATGGACAGCACCCAACTGGAGGAGCTCAAAACCATCTCTCATCTCTGGAAGTCCTCCACCTTTTTGGACCATCCTGGATCTATAGCAGACCCTTTATAGCTTCCATGAGCCACAGAAAGTAAGCAACATAGAAGAAAGAGAAGAATAAGAGCAAGTAAAGAGTTAAAACACACACACCCCCCCAAGAAACTTAAATGCTATTCCTTAACAGTTCTGTGGCCTTAGTCAAGCAATTAGGCCTCTCTGAGCCTCAAGTTTACCTTTCCAATAATGTGAAAAAAGAAAAATGTCAAGGAGGAAGGGTATATAGCTCAGTGGTAGAGTGTGTGCTTAGCATGCATGAGGTCCTGAGTTCAATCCCCAGTACCTCCATTAAGTAAATAAATAAACCTAATTACCTCCCATTTCAAAAAAAAAAATCAAATTAAAAAAAAAAAGGAAAGATGTTAAAGGCAAGGAGGATGTGTCCAGAAGGTGCAGTGCGAATGTGAGTTTTTGTTGTTGGGGTCGTTACCATTTTCAGCAGGCCTCCCTTCTGGAGTCCACCCTGTTCTGGACTTGAGTCCTCTTGGTTGCACCAGGGCTTTTCCTCAGCAGCCCAATGACAGCCCAGCAGCCAGTGCCCAGTGAGCCCGTCCCCGCCTTGCTCATCAGCCGGCCAGCACTGGGCTGAGGAATCTGCGGCTGTCACCTTGCCACAAGCTAGCCCGGATCTCTTTTATTACTTCTGAGCTAAGACTGGAAATTCCTTGGCAAAAGCTTCCACGGCACAGACTGGTCTGTTTCACTGCCCCCAGTTTGCTGAGGACCAGGAGACGAGCTGGGAGCCCGTCAGAGACAGGTCACTGGCACGCCTCCTGGGGCCCCTCTGAGTTCTGTGTGGGTTCTAGCCCAGGGGACAGACTAGGATCACATCCTGAGCCATGGCAATAAGGCATAAAATGGGTGACATGATGCCATGAGCCTGGCATCTGAGGACATGGGTGTGCTCTAGCTGAAAACACTGATGGAGCCGTCCACGGAGATTTGGCCAGAACCAAAGAATCTTTTAAATCTCAAACGCCTGGCAAGCACCCAGCCCTATGTCTTCAGGGCTGGGCATCTCATTTGGCACCATGCTCTTAGATGAGAGATCAGAACAACAATATGAAGTGTCAGTCACTGTTTATGAGACGAAAAGAGAAGGAAGAGGCCAGAGAGAGCTGGTTGACATCCATTCATACAGCCTTCGCGTGAACTTTTAGAGTTGGAAAATTGACCATAACATGTTAATGCTAGAAAAGACCCTCAAAATTGTGAGGACAAGAACCCAGAGTGCTTAGGGACGTGCTCTAAGATCACACACCTCTGAGTGATGAAATCAGTACCACGTGCCAGTCCAGTGAATGGGGGACAGAATATTTAATAAGACAGCAAATACGCCATTACATACTCAGATGCTATGTACAAAGAGTTTCACCATGGTGGTGTTTATAGTGACAAAAAAATCAAAGCAAGGTAAGTATCCATTACCCCTTAAAATAGGGATTTGTTTATATACTTTATGATAGGTGCACGTGATGGAACACTTTGTCACCAATACAAATAACAATGTGGATCTACATTTATTGACACGGGGAGCTGTGGGGCTTAGCCAGTGGGACACTTCTGTTGACCTTCTGTTGTGTGACAATAGCAGATGTCAGTGCAACACTTACGTCACCCTGGGTGAAGTTTTATATATGTATGTGTATACACAGCTATGAAAGAATTGTCTGAGAGTTGAGGTTTTGGATGATTTTTAACTTTCTTTGTTGCATTTTCACATACTGTTGGAATTTTGTTCAGAAAGCATGTCACTTTTATTTTTTTTGTCATCAGAAAGCCAACAGTAACAGGACAGCCTCTCTTTTGTCATGGATCCCATGTGTAGTTTCAGACGATTGCCAGATGCTGGGAGTGAGTTTTCCCACATACGACTGGTTTAGAGTTGCTTTCTCCTCAAAACCAGGCGAGTGCGTCCCAGCATGCCATCTAGAAGGAAGGATGTTACAGCGGGCGTGACACCTTGGATTGTCAAATAGAAGCTGCTGCCACAAGTGGTAGATTCAGATGTTCTCAGAACATCAAGATGAATTTCCATTTAAGAGTGAAAATTAGGAAGAATGAGGTGGTTGGCTTGAGCCTCTGTGGATGTGACCCTTCTGAAAATACTTGCCAGTGGGTGGCAGAGGAGATGTAGGGCCCCCTAGTTGTAATTAAGATGCTGGGTTTCATCACAGGCAAGCATGGCTGAAGTGAATTTGTAAGCAGAAAGATGAAACTGAAGGCATTGCCCTGGCTAGCACTGTACTTTGGCTGAAGGCATATTTCAAACCAAAGGCGGATGATCGTTGATAGGGTCTGGAGAAGGAGTCTTGTGTGTTCACCAGCATCCACCCCAGTCCTGGTAGGGAAGAACGTCCATGAATCCTGTGGCTACAAGCTCTGCCTGGTTCCAGAACCTTGAGACACCTCCCTGCATTACACCCACACTGGGTAGGGTGGACCTGGCGTTGTGTGTTTGAAATAGCAAATCATATTGTGTATGTGTGTGCGCGCGCATGTGCGAGTCTTAACAGTTTGAAAGAGGTGTATTTAGTCCTGCAAGACTTAAAAATATTCAACCAATTTTTATCCTAAAATTTAACCACAAAGAATTTCCAATGAGGTTGAATTATTGAGTCACCCTACTTAGTGTTTGCTTGTTACCATCAATAAACATTGTGTGTCTCTGAAAGTGTTGTAACTTGGTCTCAGAGATCATAGCTCAAGTGGTAGAGTGCATGCTCAGCACACACGAGGTCCTGGGTTCAATCCCCCGTGCCTCCATTAAAAAAAATTCAATAAATAAACTTAAATGCCTTGCCTCCTCCCCCCCCCCCGCCCAAAGCACACTCTTCTTAGAGTGTCACTACGTCTTGTGGGATCTGCTGACCACACAGTCCCAGTGGGAAATACATTCTAGGACTGCCGGGCTGGGCTGTCCAGCTTCGTGTCCCCTTTCCTGATAATTTTCCTCAGGCAAATTTAAAGATACGTGCTAACTGCTTTTCTCATAGCTGTGGGGGTTTAGCGAGTTGAGTGCTCTGACCAGCATCCGAGTTCAAGGGAGAATTCTTGAAGGGGGTCATGAGATTATTTTACTTGGGGATTGACACTTGGTTGACTTTAACTGAACACCTGCTACGCAGTCAGCATCTATGTACGAGAACTTGTAGGCAAAGGGAGGGATAGCCACTCTTTAATTCCTTATGAATATTCAGTCCTGTACCTGAAACGGTCCATGAAGCAGCAGGAATAATGTGTTCAGTAACCAAGGCGCCAGGTGGAGAAGGCAACACACCTTTAACATCTGCTTTCCAGAACGAACCGCCATGGGCATTAGTTGGAGAAAGGCAGGATCTTTTCGCGTTTTGTTTGGGTCACAACTGCTTATTTGCTTGCGATTCTTCTCGGAGTACGAAGCTGTAACTGTGTGGAGCAGGATCAGGTGTGACTTGGAGGCTTTCCCCCCATCCCTTACACATCCAGCTGCCTGAGAACTGATCACAGCGGTTGCACCCCTCTGGCAACTGTCCAAGGGCTCACTTCCCCTGCCAAGTTCAGGTGTCCTTGTCCACACAGCCCTCTCTCTTCTATTACTGCACACCCCGCTCCGCTTTGCCAGTGAGACTTTCCACTCAGCTGGGAAATACTCAGCCAAGGGCCCATCGTCTTGGAAGCTCTTGGAGTTCCATCAATTTTCAGTTTCAGGACAAGCTCTCCCAGAGACAAGAAAGGGAGAGACTCAGGCAGGGGGCGGGGGTGCGGTGGGGGGGGGTTAGCAACTTCTCATTTTATGAAATTATATTAAAATGACATCTCACTGAGAGGAAATTAAGAAAGTAAACAATAAAAGTAGGAAACAGCTTGTGGGAGAAATAAAGACAGGAGCGTAACAGAAAGAAGGAAAAGAGGGAGGAATATGACATTTCTGATAAATCCTCGGATTTCAAACAGCAGTGGTGAGGAACAAGCGTCCATTTATTTGACTTTGGAAGATACTGTATAACTTCCATTTCAATCTGTTTACCTTTCAAGCAGCATTGGCTAAAACTAACATTGACACCCTATGCACATAGGCTAGCTTTGGGGAACGTGTTGGAGGTTCTTGGTGGCTAACTGAGCAAAACCAAGTTCAGGCTGTTACTCATTTTCTTTTCTTGGGGGCCAGAGGGGCCAGACCTACCTTAGAAGATTTCTCCTTGTATCTCCTTGTGAAAAGCCCTGGCTTCACACATCCATTTTAAAGTGTTTACGCCAGTTCAGACTTGAAAATCTGCCCCAAGTGGCATCGCGCCAGATGTTGATTCTTCTTGCTTCAGAGGGAGGGAGGCGTATCCCTGTGGGTGAGTAGAACACTGTGGCACTGGGCAAAAGGGGACATTCCTTCCCAGGGCTTTACCGAGGTCAGATGAAGCTTTGCCTAGTTCTCTACCCATGAGGAAAACGAATGTGTCTCATCCACTTTCCAAGTGGGAGAAATAGGAGAGCAGAGAGCAGAAAGGCAGATCTCCCGCAATTGTTTGAAAAGACCAGGTGGATGCCAGAGAGCTGCGTTCTCCAGCCCCAGTGGTTTTAGTGCCCGGAACCCTTCACCATCCGCAGTCTCAAAATCATCTGGCTCACAGCCATGAAGAGAAACAGGCGTAATATTTTAATCACATCCAGAGGCAGAGTAAGCTGAAGCTTCAGCCAGAACAGATCCAGTTTCCTTCCCGGACTTGGTAACTTTATTTTAAAGAGAGCTCAGTGACATTTCACGGGTTAATTATAAGCCTGTTGAAGTCCTGGACTGGCTTTTATCTTTTAAGAAATGCAGTAGGTCCTCTGTATCCAAGGCTTCTGCATCCATGGCTTCAACCAACCACAGATTGAAACTATTCAGGAAAAGAAAGTAATTCTAGAAGGTTCTAAAAAGCAAAACTTGAGTTTACTGAGCACTGGCAACTGTTTACATAGCATTTCCTTGTATTTACAATGATTTACTTAGCATTTTCATTGCAGAAGGTATTATAAATAATCTAAAGACGATTTGAAATATATGGGAAGATGTGTGTAGGTTATGTTCCAATACTATGCCATTTTATATAAGGGACTTGAGCATCTGTGGGTTTTGATATCCTTGGGGTCCTGGGACCACTCCCTGCAGTGGATATCAAGAGACCATTGTATTTACACAACTTAGATTTACATGGCTCCACTGTGTGTGTGCTACAAGCTCAAAGCATTTAATATTTTCTTTCCAAACCCTAAACATCTCCAAAAGTACAAAGGAATGTGAGATTGATTAAGTCTGTCTGGAAGCCTATAACATTTCACTTTATGGTTGAATTGCAGGAGGGCAGACCACTCACTGACCACCCTGCCAGGTGATGGGAGAGAAAAACTAGAATTGTTTCCTGACTCTTGCCTTCAGAACCCCTTTCTCAATCCACTGCCTCTCCCTTTCAGACCCAGTGTGGGAATCCAAGGATCCAGAAGGACCAAATGACTCCCCTGCTCCAGCACCGTAAGAGATGTGTCTGCTTTTTCCCTTGGTTTACCTTGAGAGGGAGGTAGAAGGAAGATTGCTTCCCCTCTGCCGTTCCCTGGCCCCAGAACTCTCTTTAAAAATGCAACCAGACCACATACTCCTCAGCATCCTTGGACTCT